ATGGGGTAAAACAACTCATCAGAATCATACTAAATCGGACACACTTCATCATATCATACACCACAACATCAGCATTTCTGGCTCCAGTCATTCAACTGACCTTTTTGAATGATGCCATTCTCGTTCAAGTATTCAACAAATTCAAGTATTCAACAAACTCTTCAATATATATACACAAAGGGATGATCTCTGTGGCTTCAATATATATACACACAAAGAAAACAAAGGGATGGTATGTGAAGCGCCAAAAAAATTTGGAGATGAACAAATATAGTGAACCTCACCGATTTGTTGCCGCGATGACGCCGATTTGGACCTACCGATCTAGCAAGGCTAGCACCCAACAAACTCTCCATCTGCGAAGTCGCCGATCTGCTCTTGAATGAGAGAGAGAGAGAGAGAGAGAGAGAGATGGATGGAAGGGAAGAAGAGATTTACTCTTGAATGAGATCTCCTCTTGAATCAAAACAAAGAAACTCTTCTCTTGAACACCGTAGGATTGAATCTCCACCATTGAAATATAATTTCTTGGACATTTCTCAGCTATTGGATTGCTTCAATCTAACAATTCACATTTTGACACAAGGACAACAGTCCCATCAAAATTCAAAAACCACTCTCCCTTATTATATAGATATATATTTATGTCAATTGTTGATTAAACAAAATGAGGATTACACGTGATAATTTATTATTTATCTAAACTTTTTAGCACTTGCGAAACATAGTGAATTCTATTAATTTTGTTTTTAATTTCAATTGTCAATTAAATAAATTAAAATAAAAAATGAAAATATTTTTTTGACTCAAATTGCTAAAAAGTGATTTTTGCTTAAACAAAATAGAAAGAAACGTTATTTTTCTATTCAAAATAATGGTTCGCAAAATTTCTTTTCTTTTTTTTTTTATTAAAAAAATGAGAGTTAAATGTAATAATTTATTGTTCATCTTATAAAAAAATGTGCAGAAAAATAGAGATGTGATGTGACCCAAAAAAGATAAAAAATATATATATATATATATATATATATATAAGAGCTAATATGGCACTTCCCAAACAACCCTTTATTTAATGATCCCTTTCTAAAAGGTATATTTTTTAAATATTTTCAAGAAAAATTCTATTGAAAATCTTAAGTATATTGTTTTTACTTTTGTTCATTAATATTAAAATTTTAATTAATTTTATTTATTATTTTAAAAAAATAAAGTAGCAATAATTATATATATACAATTTTGTTTCGATTGCTTAGGTTATTTGGTGTCTCTACCCAAGTTTACTTAAATTTAATTTAAATATTTGAATTTCTACATATGTTCTCACCTAAAAAAAAAAAAAAAACTATGGTGCACAATTTTTATAAAATTCTAGGTTTGATTCGAGTTGTTTGAGTTGAGCTCGCCTAAATTTGCAACTCTAACCAAGGGATCGAAAGTTACATAATTAAAATTGTGAGAAATTAAAAATTGATACATAAATTGTGGTAAAATTGTGAAATTTAAATTATAAATTTAAATTTTTTTTTTTTATAAAAATTGTGAAATTTAAATTATAAATTTAAATTTTTTTTATTTTTATAATTTGCATACAAAAATTTCACTATTTATATAATTTTATATAAAAATATGTTATTAATTTTTTGACATTCCGTGCATGGCACGGGTTACCACTAGATTTAGTAATTAATAATGTCTAAATTGTTCAACTATCTACAAAGTAAAGAAAATAAAAAGACAATTGTGTCCTCTTTCCTTAAGGTTTTGTTTGGTATATTAGCTTAGAAATAATTGTGTAATATCTCATCTTAGTGGGAAAAAAAAAATTAATAATAATTATTATATTTTCTCATTATCATATTTAAATAGTTAAAAAAGTAAAATATGTGAAATAGGAAAATGTAAAATAAATAAATAAATAAATAAATAAAAAATGTGTGTAACTAAGAAGATAGACAACATTTTAGATATAAAAAATTGGATAAATTATAAATACACCCCTTAAGGTTTACTGAAAATACAAATTATGTCTTGTGATTTTGAAAATTACATCCCACCCCTTAATGTTTCGAATTTCATAACGATTGATCCTATTTATAAATAAATCATCAAGTCAATTAACAATTTTTAATGATGTCAAAAAATTATTTTAATTAATAGTTTAGGTAATTTTATTATTGCATAGAAGAGTAATTAGAAATTTCATTTTTCAGTTAATTTTGTTAAATAAAAAATTCTAACTATGAAGTATTTGTAATTTTTCAAACCATCCGTATTTTAAATAAATCTGAAAAATATATTTATAATTTACTCAAATATATATATAGAGCGAACTAATTTAATATAAAACAATTCTGTTTTTCTCCATTTCTTACTTAATTTATAAACCAAACATCTCATCAAATCACTCATCCTAATGGGTTATAAATGTTCGTCCAAAACAAAATGGTAAAAAAATCACAATCATTCTCTGAAATAATGCCAGATGCAAATAGCTCCATCCACGTAGAGAATTACAAAAAAACAGTCTGCATTTAAAAATTCTTATTATAAAAAGTACTCTCTTATTTGTGTTGATCAAATCTTTGGAATAATAATTAAAAAAAAAAAAAATGTAGCTCTCAGCATTTCGGAAGCAAAAGAGACTATAAATAAAATAAAATAAAATAAAATAAAATTCGGTTTTGCATAGAGGAGGTGGTGAAGCCGGCTTGGGCGGCAACGAGGTCTGGCAGACACTTGGTTCTCTTTCTTGAAACTCACATCACTGTCACTAAGATTGAATTTGCACACAAAATACTTCTAATTCATTAAATTACCAAAATACCTCTTCCTACTTTAGCTAGAAAGTACATCGGAGTGAGAAGGAAAATCAAACTTCTTAGTAAACAACATAAGTGAGTTTAATGTAAACTTTAAATCACTTTAAATATTTTATTTTATTTTTACAATAGATAGATACAAGGAGAAATTACAACTTATAACCATAAAAATAATTATAAACATATAAAAGCGAAAGTGGAATTAATATTTTAGTATAAGTCGGTTCACTATTTTACTTACACCAAAGTATAAACCCACTTGCATTTTATATTTTTGCAAGGGTAAATTACACTATGTAGTTTTGTACTTCACATTTAATTCCATTTTAATAACTTATTTTTCAGGTCAAGTTGTAATGTGATCATTTTCATTAGTTTGGTGTTAAATTCGCTAGCTGAAATTAGTTTAAATTACACTTTGTATCTCAATACTTTATATTAAATCCCACTTTAGTATTATATTTAAAACTTACAATAGTTAACATTTTGCACATTCTGCCAAGTTATAATGTAACATTTTAAGTAGTTTGATGTTAAATTGCTTAATGAAAGTTTTCATGTGACCCGCACCACACATGGCCACTGCCTACCCTCCTTTCACCACCTCCACATCCACTCTCTACTATGGATCACCACCCTTCTCCAACTGTCTACTTGCCAACCCTTCTCTAGTAAAAAGGGAGTAGGGTAGTGTAAGGTGAGAGGGAAAGGATGGAGTGATATTGGGTGGTGAAAAATGGTAGGTTGGTAGACAAAGGGTAAGGGATGGTGATGGGCAATGGAGAGGCAATTGGGAAATGATAAAAGTGGAAGGAAAAAGGCAAGTAGTAGCCATGGATAGTCAAGAAACGAATGTGAGAGTATCAAGAAAGGGTTTTCGGTGATGGCGGTCGGTTAGAAAATTTAGTACAAGAAAAAAATATCGTGAATAATAGAGAAGAATGTGAAGGTCACATAATAATAATAATTTTTGTTAGCGGAAAGATGAGATTATGATTAGATCAAAAATGTAATTTTAGCCTATTTGCAATTACTTCCACCCAAGGTTTTAAAAAGCGGTCACAACCGTTACGTAACGCCGTTACGTAACGGTTGTGGTAGTTACCGCCACCCGTTACGGCCGCTTTTGCAGTGTGATTAAGATTCACAGGTGTATCGGCCATAGCGGCTGCTATAGCGGTCGTAACGGCGCCGTAACGGTCGTAACGGCCTGTTACGCACCGTTACGTAACGGTTCCGAATTGCTTCTTTCAAAAAAACACAAAAAAATACAAAAAAAAAAAAGTTGAAAATGGGGGAAGAGAGATAGAGAGAGAAGAGGGAAGATGGAGGAACAAGAAATAGAGAGAGAATAGGGAAGATGAAGAACATGTTATTGATTTGTTGAAGTTGTAAGACCTATGCTATTCTATTCAGCTATTATCACTCAAACATTTTGTTTGTTTGTGTCTATTTATATATTGTTTGAAAATAATAATAATAATAATAAGTGTGGTCATTATCTATTTGGCTTGATTAAAATATGTATATATATATATATATAGAAAGTTTTCTTGGACTTTTGTTCAATAATCACATATTCATACCATAAGTACAAAACAAAACAGAGGTTTGTAAATCTATCAATGTGTGTGTATATATATATACAGAGAGAGAGAGAGAAAAAAAAAGGGGGGAGATGATAGAGTAGATGCGACCGCGAGAGAAGATGTAGGAGAAGATAAAGGCGGCGAGAGGAGATGCGGCGGTAGGGAAGAGATGTCGATGGCGACGATGGAGATGGAGTTTGTTGGGGAGAAAAGAGCAGAGAAAGAGGAAGCGGCCAGTTTGATTTGAGAGAATCAAATTGTTCTATGATATATGGGTGTCAGGGTTGAGGGACCTTAGATATCACAAAATAATATTGTGGATATCTTTCATTTCTAAAAATATGATAGAGACCTTAGACTAATTTTTTCCAAAAAATATTCCGTCTTTTTAAAATATGACTTTGATAGTTTTTTATAATTTAAAAAAGGGCAAATTACCCACAAGTGTTTTTTGAGAAGTGTGTATTCTATTTAATCCCAAAACCTTTTAGATAAACCCAAAAATCCTATATTCATTTATCTTATCCTTTTTCCTTACACCTTACTTCTTCTCCGTATCTCTTTTTTTTTTATATTTGTGACGATCACGACCATGTCCACGACCACGACCACGACCACGTCTTCCCAAATCATCCACCACGCCACCGCCTTCATCTCCGAAACACTCTCACAAGCCGACCTCCGCCACCGCGTCTTCTCCGCCTTCACCAATAAAATCCCATCTTCCAATCAAATCATTCTCAAACCCCTACACCTTGCTGCTGAAACGCTCGAAAACGCCATTTCCACCTCAAACCCCTCAATTCGATCCTCCTCTCTCCGCCTTGCGGAAAAGCTCCTTATCTCTCCCATTCATAACACCATCCCTGAAAACCCATTTTCCTCTTTCCTTCTATCACTAATTCACTCTCTTTGTCACCGTCCCATCGATGCTTCACTTAGCCTACTCGATGTTTTCTACATTGACCCTTCTTTAGCTAGATCGGAAGTTGCACCTGTTGTGTTCGAGGAATTGTTTCTTATACATTTTCTTCCTGTTTTTCAATGGTTCAATGATCATAGATCGAAAATTTTGTCTTCTTTATCGCAAAATGTTGGTTACAATTGTGATGATAGCTCTATATGTGATGACTCGGTGGTTTTCTCAAGCACGAGGTCGTTGTCGCAGATGAGTGGCGATCAAACTTCGGAGTTGAAAGAGTTGGAGAAAGATTATGAGGAGGTTCTTGATGAGAATTGCAGGATTTTTGCTGGGTATTTTAAAGAGGTTTTGGCAAACAAAGATGGAAATAGGTTAATCGACCCGCCATCTGTGGTATTGGAAAAGACTGGAAAAGGCCATAAATCTGAATATAGCAAAGATGAGAAGATCAAAGCTGGAGAACCTGGATTGAAAAACGGACGGTATAATGTAATGCTTTATTTTCTTTAGTAGATACTGTTACTATCTTTTCTCAAATTCTCTGTTTCTTTATCATACAGCCTAAATTGTTTAATAATATTTTGTTTGTTTGGGCGAAAAATATTTTATAATGAAAAATATTTTCTAAGAAAAAATATTTCCAGAAAAAATATTTTTCTATATTTGGTGGTAGTAGTGGCGGAACGAAAGAGGAGGTGGAGGTTGTGGCATGGCGGTGGAGGTGGTGATAGCGACGGTGATGGTGGCGGTGACCATAGTGATGGTGGTGTGGTGGTGGAAGTGATACTGTAGTGATATTGGTAAGATTGTAATCCGGAAAATGATTTCCACTTTTTAAAAGTGAAAAACATTTTTTGCTCAAATAGGTTTGTTTTCCGTTAATTATGAAAAATATTTTTCGTTAATTTTTGTTTTTCATTGTACCAAACACTAGAAAATACTAAAAATATTTTTCGGCAAAGTTGTCCAAACAAACGAAGTGTATAAAATAATTTTAAGTGACTAAAATTTTAAAGTGCAAATCCAGTATGCAAAGTTCTCATTTTGCACAGCATGGACTTGACAAGAAATTTTAAAAAAATGTAGGAAATGATATATGGGGATACGTTCAAAATATATACTCCATTCGTTTCAAAATATTAGTTTCTTATTTTATTTTTTATTGTCCCAAAATATTAATCCATGTCAAAAATCAAAGACCAAAAAAATATGAATTTCTTATTTTTCCCTTTTAAATTCATCAACATTAATCAATGTGTTTGGTTTGAGTTTTTTGAATTAAGTTTTTTAAAAATTGAGTTTTTTGATTTTCGTGTTTTTTTTTTATTTTTAGTGAATATTTTTAAAATTTTAAACATTTTTTTTTTACTTTTTTAGATGCACCTTACTTAGATGTATCTAAAAAGTAAAAAAATTTGTGAAAAAATATTTTTAAAAATTAATAAATACATAAAAATATAAAAAATGTACTGAATTCTCGTATTTTTTTTTTAATTTTTGGTATTTAGTGAATTCTTAAAAGGTTTTTTTCAATTTTTTTTACTTTTTAGGTATATTTATGTTAGGTATGTCTAAAAATTAAAAAAATTGCTCAAAATATTAAAAAAATTCAGTAAAAACAAAAAAACACGGAAAATATGAAAGTAGAATTTTTTGAAAAGTGTTTTTGAAAAATGATAACTAAGCATGCTGAATATTTTTGAAGTGTAAAAATTATACTATCAAAAGTTAGTTTTGAAAAGTTAATATTTTTGAAATGTAATAATTGTACTACTAAAAAAAGTTGAATTTTACAAAAGTGACTAATATTTTGGGAAGGAGGGAGTAATTTTATATATTTATTATATTCCATTTGTGAGGACAAAAATTATTATGTCATATATGTGAGAATTTAAGTCAAAAGTCTAAAGTAAGAGAATAGGTATAAATTTATATTAATCTTTTGTTTTTGTCATTGGATTCCAAGTTATTTTATTTAAACTTGTAATGTGTTTTATGTATATTTAAGTATTGGAAGCATCCAACGAATATTGTGTCAGTGTCTCACATGACACATTAGCTTCTTAGAAAGAAGGACTGTGCTTCTTAGGCTATCATCATTATTACTTTTGAACTAAAATATGAAATTCTCTGAAATGGCATAAGGGGGTTGTTGCTTTTATTAGGAATATTGTTATTATAATTGATTTTCAATTGGAGTTAGGTTCAAATCTTCTTTGTCCACGTTATGTGAGTGTCTTTGTTCAGTTTCTTCAACGCAATATTGTTATTATAATTGATTTTCAATTGAAGTTAGGTTCAAATCTTCTTTGTCCACATTATGTGTTTGTTCAGTTTCTTCAATGCATTGAATAGAAACCGTGTTTCCTCTGAATGATGAAATTCGACATTGTTTTCATATGCTTTAGCTCATTGAGAAGTTCTAGTTTGACTTTGTCAAGCAAGAGAAATTGTGAAAGCTATTGATCATATGGGTTTTTTTTTTATTGACAATGAAATTTATGACTTGCACAGCATTACACCTTTCTGGACCATTTGATCAGCAGGTCATCTTTGATTCTATATTACAAATGTCAGTTGGCACAATGCATTATATAAATAAGTCAATATATTGGGTCCATATAGTTGTTTGGATTTGTATTCATTTGATCCACTTGACCATAAACAATCAGCACTATGAACATGGGGCACTTCCTTAATGTAAAACAAATGATATAAATTTTTTAATCATCCAAAAGCAATTACTTTATTTTACTGTAATTTTAAATAATCAATTATTATTATTATTATTATTTTATTTTATTTATTTATTTATTTATTTTGCCCACAGAAGGTATATTGTATAACAATTCCTAATTGTTTAATTGTTTGTCTTTTTTTTGAACAAATCACCTTCCAATATGTTAGCTTAGGCCTCGTTTTGGAACAAGCTAATTTAGTAACTTTTTGACTATTTGGCTAAAAAGGTTGGTAAAAAAAACTTGTATGTTTGGGATGACTTTTTGGCTAATTACGAAAAGATGTGCAAAAAGTAGAGAGAAAAGAGAAATTTTGACTTTTTGGTATGAATTGTTGACTTTTTAACTAATTTAATAACTTTTTGACTAATTGGCTAAAAAAAAGTAAGTCCACATACGCGGCCTTAATTTTCCATTTGACCATTTCTCATCCTCAATGTTTTTCTCGTTGACTTTTCTCTTGTATCCTCTAGCATTCGCATTTTATGACACAGCTATGAGGGAATTGGTCTGGTTAACTCATCTTCAATGTTTTTGTAAACTAGAAACATTGAAAACATTTCAGAGTCAACCGAAGTTTCTCTGAATTCAGTTTGACAATCCCAAGAATGTTAACTTTCTTTCGATTTCCTGCAGCCAATGTGGGCTGAAGGAGAAAAATCAGTTGAATTCAACCGTAGTAGTGCCAAAAGCCTATCCCAGTTTCCATCTTTCTATCCCGAAAGAGTCTCTCCAAAAGTCTTTACAAACCAAAGATCTTCTAGGAAATCAAAAACGTTACCAAAAGATGATTCTGACACCGAACTCGAGCCTTCTTCTGACGACAATTTGAGCGATTACTCTTCTTCAGATTCTGATGCCGAAATAGAGGTAATCGATACTAACTAAAATCAGATATCTTCCACGGACTGAAAAACCTATGCCATTCATTAAGTCAAATAAGTTGCTCATGTGTCTTATAGGAAAAGAACAAAAAATCATCATTGTTTGACACTAGACAAAGCCCCTCCCAAAAACAAAAGCAGCCCATTTCTGCAGAATCAAGTGGGTAAGTAATACAAAATATGCTCATTAAAATTACGTTGCCTTCTGCACTATCTTATATTTGGATTTTTCATGTTATCAGTTCTCCAGATCTTCTCATGGCTGAGATTGATAACCCACCCGGTGGAGAAAAACACACACCGCCTAAGGACTTTGTCTGTCCCATAACTAGCAACATATTTGGTGATCCTGTGACTCTCGAGACTGGTCAGACTTACGAACGTAAAGCAATCCAAGAATGGCTTGAAAGAGGAAACTGCACGTGCCCAATTACACGCCAGAAGCTGCACCGTACTCAACTGCCTAAAACAAATTATGTACTTAAACGTCTCATTGCAAGTTGGCAAGAACAGAACCCCACTTCAATTCCCGTCCAATCTGAGAATTCACAACCAGAAAGCAAACCAGTTTTTAACTCGATGATGCGGTCAACTTCTCCTAACAGTGTTATAAGCCAAGCCACCATTGATGGCACAGTTAGTGAGTTGCATCTAGTCATTACCAACCTTTGTATGTCAGAAATTTTGAAGGAGTCTGAAATGGCAGTACTTCAAATTGAACGGTTCTGGCAGGAAGCCAATATGGAAGTTGAGATTCAAGCTATGCTCTCAAAACCTCCTGTTATTAACGGGTTTGTGGAGATCCTATTCAATTCTGTTGATCCTCAAGTCTTAACTGCAACAATTTTTCTCCTGTCTGAGCTTGGGTCGAGAGACGGTGCCGTGATTCAGACACTGACCAGAGTTGATTCTGATGTGGAATGTGTTGTTGCTCTTTTCACGAACGGGCTCTTGGAAACTGTTGTGCTGATTTACCTGTTAAGACCCTCCTCCATAAGCCTTATCAAGATGGACATGGTGGACACACTCTTAACAGTGATTAGAAATAAAGAAGATGATATGATTAAAATGTGTATGAAGCCAAAAACAGCGGCAGTGCTTTTGTTGGGACAAATATTTGGAAGTGCAGAGGAGATTAGTTTATCTGAAATTACTAGGAGGGTGATTATGGGGAAAGTAATTGAGAGTATTGTTGCAAGCTTGCAATCCGACTGGGCAGAGGAAAGGATAGCAGCTGTTGGTATCTTGTTGAGATGCATGCAAGGGGAAGGCAAGTGCAGGAACAGCATTGCTGATAAGGCTGAGTTGGCTCCTGTTTTGGAGTGTTTCACGGGGGCTAGTGATGGAGAGCGGTTTGAGATAGTTCATTTTCTCTTTGAATTAGTTAAGCTGAATAGGTACTTTTTTCTTCAATTTGTATCACTTCCAATAATATAGACTTCTAGCAATATGAATGACCTATTGTGATTTTCTTCAGACGGACATTTAACGAGCAAATCCTCCATATCATAAAAGATGAAGGTACTTTAAGTACAATGCACACCCTCCTCATATATTTGCAGACAGCCCTCCAAGATCAATGCCCTATTGTAGCTGGTCTTCTTCTCCAGCTTGACCTTCTGGTTTGAATTTTTCTCTCCTTTCCCCTTCTCTCTTTCTCTGATAAAATGGTTTGTAGCAGTAATTTAATCAGTACTCTCTCAATTTGTAGGAGGAGCCAAGAAAGATGAGCATATACCGAGAAGAGGCAATAGATACACTTATTTCATGCCTAAGAAATTCTGACTTCCCTGCTGCTCAAATAGCAGCTGCTGAGACAATTTTGGCCCTCCAAGGAAGATTCTCTTCTTCTGGAAAGCCCCTCGCTCGGGCTTTTCTTCTTAAACACGGAGGAGTTGACAAAAGTCATAAATATGTTATGAGAAAGGAACAGCTTAGCACGATGTCTGGAGAGATTCAAGAATCATTGGTTTGCTTCAACCATTCCATTTTGCTTCCATTTACTATTGAAATCTTTAGAATTTTTGTAGATGTTATTTTATATTAAGGCAAATTATACCCATGGTCAATTGCATCAGTTTTCCCCTTGATTTTTAATGTTGTGTCAATTTAGTATAATTGAAAACATCTGTTAAGAAATTATACAAAATGAAGGGCAAAATGGTTCATCCAAAAGGCTTGGATGATTTTCAATTGGACACTAACCCATTGAGTTTGTAGAGTATGAATGGACTATTTTACCCTTTGATTTTAGTCCAATTTTTAAATTGGACTAAATTGATACAATGTGAAAAATTCAAGGATAAAATTATTGCAATTAGAACTATAAGGATCAAATTGACACAAGAGGCAAACTACAAGGACTACCAGTGTAATTTGCCCTTTATTTTAGTTTTATTTTCTCTTATCCTTTATTGTTTCATTCATGTTGTTTGTGTTTCCTAAATAATTATATGAGAGATCTTTTCTAGTTCCTACTAATGTCTTTTTTGATACTTATATTTTCCACCTACAGGAAGAAGAGAAAGCTGCTGAGGAGTGGGAAAGAAAAATGGCATTTGTTCTTGTCAGCCATGAATTTGGTCTGGTGTTTGAAGCTTTAGGGGAAGGCTTAAAGAGTAGATATGCTGAGTTATCTTCAGCATGCTTTGTGTCAGCCGCGTGGCTTGTACACATGCTCAATGTTCTTCCAGACACAGGCTTACGAGGAGCAGCCCGTGTCTGCTTGCTTAAGTGCTTTGTATCAACATTGAAGTCTGCAAGGGACACTGAAGATAAAGTCCTTTCCATGCTTGCTCTGAATAGCTTCGTACATGATCCTGGTGGGTAAACAATTTATGGAATTAAGTAAAAAAAATTCTCCAAAATTTTAGTGTCAGATAGTTGAATATATTCATATAGAAATACTAATGGAAGTCTATTGGATTGAATAATTTTTCCCTTGCATTAAAGGGATGGTGTTTTGACAACTATTTGAATTAAGATCATACCTGTTTCTTTCATGCCATTTGAAGCAACAATACCATTTGTTAGCAGAGTCATTAAAGTTGTGCTGTGTAGGGATTTGTGGAGGGAAAGTAAATGGGAAGGGAAAAGTAACAAAAATTTAAGCTAAATGTTTGTCATTTTTCCGTTCTCATTTATTTTTTTCTCTACAAATCCTTAAACAAATCCATGATTCAAACACATCCTTAAGGAAACAACCATTCTGAAACTTGAGTTATCTCCAAAAAGGAAAATGATTGTAGAAATGGTGGGGGTGAGGGTGCTCATTATCATTTATTGTCATGGGATCAGATCTGTGTACCTAAGGAGAGAGGGGGCTTGGGGGTTCGGAGGTTGGTCTTGTTCAATTTGGCCTTGTTGGGGAAGTGGTTGTGGTGTTTTGTGGAGGAGAGGGAGCGACTTTGGAGGAGGGTGGTGGTTGCTAAGTTTGGTATGGGAAGGAGGGAGTGGTGTTCGAGAAGGGTGGGTCATTCTCATGGTTGTGGCTTGTGGAAAGGGATTTGGTTGGGTTGGGAGGTGTTTTCGAGGAGGGTGAGGTTGAAAGTTGGTGTGGGGGATAGAGTTCGTTGTTGGCGAGATAGGTGGTGTGGTGACTTGTCTTTAGAGTTTCATTTCCTTTTGATCTTCGCTATTGCTGCTGATTGTGAGGTGTTGGTGGGTGTTGTGAGGGTTGGGGAGGGGCAATCTTTGGTGTGGAATGTGCAGTTGCGTCGCAATGTCTAGGATTGGAAGCAAGATCAGTTGGTGAAACTTCTGGGTTTTTTATATGGTTTGCATCTTGGAAGGGTAGGTCAGGATTTTGTGGTTTGGGATTGTCCTAGATCCAAAGATATTTTTACTGTGTCTTCATTCTATGGGGTGCTTGTGTAGGATGTGTATGCCCATGATGTCGCTATGGTTTATCTGTAGAAAGGTGTTTGTGTGTCGGGCTCGCCATCCAAAGTTGCGTTTTTTGTTTGGATAGTGAGCTTGGGGCGTATCTTGACTATTGATAATTTGATTTGTCGTGGGCATATTTTGGTGAATTGGTGTTGTCTGTGCGGTAGGGCAGTGGAGTCGGTTGACCATTTTCTTATTCATTGTCCGGTCTCTTCTTGTCTTTGGATGGTTGTGGTTGCAGTTATTGGTTTAGTTTGGGTTCAACCAGGTTTTGTGTTCGCAGTTGTGCACAATTGGGTAGAGGGGAGGGTTGGGAGGAGGCGTTGAAAGGCTTGGATTCTTGCTTCGCACTGTTTAATTTGGTTGATCTGGTTGGAGCGTAATAGGCGGATGTTTCAAGGGGTGGCTACAGTTTTGTATAGTTGGGTGACATGTTTAGTAGATCTGAATGTATTGGCTTTTTTAGATTTTGTGGAGAATTTGATTTGTTAGTTTGGTTAGGGGATTTTGAAGCCATTTTTGTATTCTTTGCATCATCTTGATGCTTTTTTAATAAAGTCTAGTTATTTATCCAAACAAAAAAAAGAAAAGAAAAAGATTGTAGAAATGGGCTAAAATGTCGATTAGCAAAAACAGAATGTACCAAAAAAGTAGAGGTTCATTAGAAGAAAAGTAGAAATGAGAAAAAGGAAAAGGTTATGTCCTCAGTGTTCTAGACAGTGAAGGTGATATCTGCGTAATTTTTTATTGGGTTAATTAAACTTTCCTTCTTTAACTATCATTTGAATATCACCTCACCCCCTCAACTTTAAAACTGAATATTTGAGCCCCTCAACTATCAAAAACTTTTTGGAGGAGTGAAAGTGAAGCAATTTTGAGGGGGGTAAGGTGATATTCATTGATAGTGTTTATCTGGGTTTATTTGGGGGTTAAAGTGTAATGAACCTTTTTCTTTTTTCTTTATTTTTTATTTTTTATTTTTTTTATGATAGAGTTTATCTGGGTTTATTTGTAATAATCCTATGTCTTTACCTACATCTGTTTTGGGATCCTATTTTCTAAAAAGTACAATTCTCACACTTGACAATGTAACTTCCAGAGGGGCTGCGTGATATAACTTACCACATGAAGGATATTTTAAAAGGTCTAAGAGAGCTCAAGAAATCCTCCACGATGGCTTTAGATATGCTCAAAGTTTTCGCAGAGGAGCGTGACTCCAGTACTGTAAGTTTCTTGTACTTCATTAAAAACTACTTCGAAAAGAAAAAAAAAAAAAAATTGAAGAAGAAGAAATTAACCTGGGGCAATATTACATTCTTTTGCAGCAGGACCTGTGGAATCATAAAGACTTAGTTCAAGAAGATTGCAGCGTAAATGGAGAAGTTCTGTCAGTAGTTTACTTCAGAGACAAGATATTTTCTGGCCATTCAGATGGAACAATAAAGGTAAATGAGCCAGCCTGTTAGGGCCCGTTTGGTTCTGTTTTTAAAAAACTGCTCTTGAAAATTGTTTTTGGTAGTTAAACTTGAATGCATTTTTCGAAAACAGAATCATAATTGTTTTAATGGACCCTAATTTCATGGTTTCAGTTTATATATGTAGGCTTGTGTGTGGGTCCTAGAATCCTGGACAGGTTGCGTTACATTATAGAAAATACCTATGTTTATATCCTCATGGTTTAAATTGTGAATGAAAAATGCTTATAAATGAAACAGATATGTTGCAGAAGACACATGGGATGTGGTAGTAAGAAATAATAGGAATTTATTTAATTTAACAGGGCATATAGCCCTCAATAGAAAGTTTTTTTTTTTTTTTGAACACAAGATTCATGAATGGCAAACAAATTTGCATCAAGATATACGGTTACAATAGTGCACTACAAAACAAGGCACTAAATTTTGATCCGATTGAAACTTTTTACTAAACATTGAAGGTGTGGACTGGTAAAGGTAGCATTCTTCATCTTATCCAAGAAACTCGAAAGCACACCAAGGCAGTTTCTAGCTTGGCAATTCTACAGTCAGGAGATAAACTATACAGCGGTTCACTTGATAAGACTGTGAGGGTATGCTATAGTCTTCCTGCTAACAAGTCTTGATTTTATTTTCTTTTCTTTTCTCTCCTTATCACTCAATTCAAACAGGCTGCCAAAGTTTCTTATCTGTTGTAACTAGGTCTGGTCGATTGGCGGTGAAGTTATGCATTGCACACAAGTTCATGATATGAAGGATCAAGTTCATAATTTAGTAGTTGCCAATAGTGTTGCCTGCTTCATTCCACAAGGAGCCGGCATCAAGGTATGATATACCGTTATCCATCCATTTGCTGCTAATTGTACTATTTCTACATTTAAACCTCTAAATAGAGTAACGGAGGATGGTTTTACAATCATTTTCATAATTGGACTTTTTACTATTGTTTTTTGACTTTCACAATTATTCAACTTTTGGGAGCTAATAAGCACGGATATTTGTAAGAAGGCAATATGCACGACACACTTCTTGTACACTCTCGGACATGTGTCCAATACTCTTTTTTTCCATGTCCATAATTAAAATAAAATAATTTTGGACACGTGTCCGACAGTCATTTTGAGATGTGTCTGCCACTTCTTGGCCATGTCTATTAGTAACAACTAAACATGAGACCAACACTTCTTGACCATTTTCTAACACATGATTTTCAAAGTTAATTTTCTTATATTCTTAGAAAATGTATAATTCTTAAGAAAAATCCTATAGAAGTTTCACATAAATTTAATGAAAATAAAAAAGATACATAAAAGTATTGGCAGATAACTTAAAAGGATGAGGGAAATGTTGCAATTATATATGTTTGCTATAATTTGTTTGATTTTTATCTACTATGGTCCAGTGGTCTAAAAATTCATGTAAAAGAATTATATACAAGATTTATGTAGTATAAAGTAATTTTTTATTTTGTATATATTATGTACATATGTAGCTATATGATATAATATATTCCTAGATAATAGAATATCAAGATATAATTATTTGTGGTGTGTCTTAACCGTGTCTATAGCCTACTTTTTGGAATTTTCTGTTTCTATCTGAGATGGAAAATTCCTATATATTATGTACTATGAAGCACGGATACTTCAAAAAGGGTGACGTATCCGTATCGGATACTTATCGGATACCGATACTCCTCGGATACTCGCGGATACGTATCAGATACTTCGTAAAAGTATCAGATACTTCTTAATTAATTTTTTATTAATTTTGAAGTATCGGATACTTAATTTTGAAGTATCGGATACTCGAAGTTATATATTACTTATAATATTTTGTTTAGTTCTTTGATAAGAGGAATATAGTGAGAGTTAAAGTAATAGAATTTGTCAAATTGATGTATCCTTGTTGTCTCTCTCACTTCTCTCTCGCTTTTTCACTCTCACGTTTCTTCTCTCTGCTCTCATTCTTTTGTTGGTGTTGGCATGTAAGGATGATGTTTAATTTGCATTCGCATTTGCATTTGGTTTTGCTTTTAGTTTTGGATGTTTTATGAATGTTTAAGCACTTTTAGGTTAATAGGAATCCCTCTCCTTATTTATTAATTTACTTTAAGTTTTATTTTCATGCATATTACATTATTAAAATTATATAAAAAAAAAAAAAAAATTATGAATGTATCCTCGCTGTACCCGTATCGTACTTTTTCAAATTTTGACATATCGCCATATCCACATCCCCATATCACCATATTCGTATCCGTGCTTCCTAGGCCATCATTGATGACTTAAAAAAGTATATTTGCTGAAATTTTTATTTAAGAATGGTTTTTTGGTTTTAGCTAAGGTCTTGTGATATTCAATGATGAAGGGGAACAAGTTGAAGCTATTGACCTTGAAGACTCTTAGTTTTATAGGAATCTTTCTTCTTTATCAAGTTGTCTTTTGCTTTAGATTTTATTTTTATGTATGCTGCATTACTAAAAATTGTTAAAATAATATTTTTTATAAACGTATCCCCGCCATACCCGTATCCTAATTTTTCAAATTTTGTCGTATCGCCGTATCCGTATCGTATCGTATCCGTATCCCGTATCCGTATCCGTGCTTCCTAGATTATGTACATATGTAGCTATACAATATAATAAATTCTTAGATAAGAGAATATTAAGATATAATTATTCGTGGCGTGGTTGAATTGTGTTTTTGTCCTACTTTTTTGGAATCCATGTCATCAACGTGTCCATGTGGTGTCGTATCCATCTCCCGTATTTACGCTTCATAGGTTCGGAGAATCACTTGATTATACCCAAGAAGCCCTTGCAGTTGTTCCTCATATGAACAGGCTGAAGTGCCATACTCAAACATTGTTTTGTTCTTGCATATGGTTTGTAAAAGTTCAACAAAATCATGCATCTTTGAGCTAAGTTGCTTTCCAAAAGAAGTCAGGAATATGTAACTGATTTATGTAGCTTGTTATATTCTTCTATCAGATGCACTCATGGGGCGGAGGATCCAAACTGTTAAATCCAAACAAATCTGCAAAGTGTATTACCCTTCTACATGGGAAGTTATACAGTGGATGCCAGGATAATAGCATTCAGGTATCAAAATTTTATCTACATCCGTTACCTCAGTTCATGTTCTTTCTTTTTCTTTTTTGCGTGTTAATTTTTAAAATTTAACTTTCTTGAGCTTCCAGGAGATTGATTTAGCCACCGGAACACTTAATACAATTCAAAGTGGCTCGAGGAAATTACTGGGGAAAGCAAATCCCATCCACGCATTGAACATTCGTGATGGGTTGCTATATTCGGCTAGCTCTTCCTTGAATGGAGCAGCTGTAAAGGTACTGTTTATCTTAAAAACATAAAAACAAAAACGGATTAGATACAAAATTCTGTAACCTCCCAAAGAACAAATTCTAAAGCTAACTGAGAAGTAGAATGTTTTCACAGCAGCACGTACATAAAACTTCAAACTGATCTCTTTCATAACTTTTTTCGTTTTTATGACTAATAATATTTGCTTTTTTACGTGGCAAAAGATATGGAATGCTTCAAATTACAGTATGGTTGGATCACTACCATTGACATTGGAGGTGAGGGCCATGGTGGTAAGCTCAGAGCTGATATATTTAGGCTGCAAGGGAGGGACGGTGGAAGTTTGGTGTAGAAAGAAGCATAATAGAGTAGATATGCTACAAACCGGTTCGAATGGTAGAGTTCTTTGCATGGCCCTTGATGCCGATGAAGAAGTCTTGGTTATCGGAACATCTGATGGTAAAATTCAGGTAAAATGTTCCTTTCATCTCAATATTCCTAGCGGAAAATATTATGTAAAAGACACTGTTTCAACATCGGCTGGTTTAGCAATTGGTTTTTTGTTGACTTTTTCCGTTTTTAGTCAACTTTTCAAAAACATTTCCAAAATACATTTCACTTTTAAGTCCTACTAGACTAGAAGACCCTAAATATTAAAAAGAAGAAATTTTGAAAAAATCCATCACATTTCTTGTCTTTAGTGTTTTTTTTTTTTTTTTTTTTGTTTTTTTTTTTTTTTTTTTTTTGGGGGGGGATTTAAAAATAATAATAATTTAGTTTTGGATACTTCTAGACTAGAAGGACCTGGAAAGAAAAAATCTTGAAAAAACTTTTAAAAAGTTCATCAAATACAAAATAGATTGGGAAAAAAAATGTTGCTTTTTTAGTATTTGCTAAACAGAGTTCATATTATAACAAGCAGTGATGACAACAATAAATAAATGCTGAACTAACTGATGGAGCATTTCTCTCATTGTGCAGGCATGGGGACTGACCTAAATGAGGATGAATAACACATTTTTGAAAGCTCGATTGCAAACTTTAAATCATCAATTGACATTCTTTGGATCCTTGAAATAAGCTTCTCCAATGGGGAGATATTTTTGAGAAGTGTATGTAGTTCAAAATATTGACAATCTTTATTCTTTCTAGTCACATTCTATTGAACTATAATGCCTTTTTGTACCATTGTATAGAAACTGACTTATATATACACAGAAATAAAAGAAAGTGATTGAATCTTTATCTTCTATTACATGTTCCTTATTAATTTGATTTTCGTGTTATTGGAATTTGTGTAAGATGGAGTTGTGCAGTTGAAAAACTACAGAGAGAGAGAGAGAGAGAGAGAGCATGTAATGTACAATTTGGTTAGCATCAACAGAGAACTGAATTTTAGTATTTTTTTTTTCTTTCTGGTATATTGGTGATAGATCCATCAGTACACCATTTGCTTTTTTGTAGTTTAGAAACTTGTCCCTTCAGGGGACATTCATAGTGAGGGAACTCTTCTCTTTTTAGGCTGACGAATGGAGGCTCCTGGAGTGGTCCTTTGAATTTGAATTCCATTGGTCAAGGGTCACAGAGCAGGCATAACTCCCAACCAATTGAACCCCAAAACAAACATGTGTTGTGTATAGCTGTTTTTATATTGTTCACCTCTGATTCTTCAGTGTTTAGATGGTAAATGTTAAAATAAATAAATTAAAAAGAAGTAATTATAAGCTTGAGGAGGGCTGTTTCATTGTTAGCTAATTTGGCCAACCAGACCGCATATTAACTGTGATGAACATACAATTTAGTCTTTTCCAACACAAATCTCAAGAGACTCTAGTTTGACTACTGATGTTTGTCGACGAGCCAAGGCTGAGCAACAATTTGAACATGTTTAGCATAGCCTAAAAATAAATTACAATTTCAATAGTGATCCCCAACGTTCCAAGCAATAGAATAATGACGTGTAGGTTTAATTCTTAGAAAACACACAATTACTTGTTAATCCTCCAATGTGAAGAGTAAGGCATCGCCGTTAAAATTAATCAGGCATCAATTTCGAGTCATATCATATGGTTGAAAGCGATGTTTCTTTCCTTTTTGTTATTATGCAGAGGCCATATTTACAAATATATGAATCAAATGACACCAAAGATACCAACTTAGACCAATTAAATACAGATTTGTTAGCACCCTCATGCGTACTCATGATATTATAACCATATGAGTGTGTAGATAGGCTGCCCCCCAAAAAAAAAAAAAAATAAAAAAAAATAAAAAAATTGAAGTACACTTAAAACAAATTAAAAGTACGTGAAAATTGTCATTATTGAAATTTTATATGTCGTTGTCGCAGTGAAGTAAAAGGCAACCTTACTCTGCAAAACACATAGGTCTGTCTGCTATTAGGAAATTAATGAGAGAAATAATTAATCAATTTCCATCATTGTACAGATGTGAGTGAGAATCATCCATTAATTTAGCAGATTTTGGAATGCTCAAAATGCAGGGATTGTTGGCATATTCTCGTAAATTCTTTGATACCAAACACAACCTTATTCTGTGGAAACAGAATCTAAGAGAAACCTTATTCCATTTAAATGAGTTAGAAGAAGAACCAAATACAAAAAGCACTACTTTTTGTTTCCTCCAGGATTTGTTTGGGTATGAATCTGATAGCAAATTCCTTATATCATTTTCACCTACTATATGATTATCATCGTCATCGTTGTTATGTTTTGTTTGTCATATCAATGATATGGGTGTATGTAATATTCTTTAACCGTTTCATATTTGTCCATTTGTTTGTCATGACTCATATTGATGATATGGTTATATATTACTGCTTCATATTTGTCCCTGAAAACAATTGTCAACCAAAAGCATTATCAGTAAAGATCTAGTACTAGATATTGACCATAAAAATATAGATCTAGTACTAGGATTTGTTTGGGTATGAATCTGGTAGCAAATTCCTTGTATCATTTTGAACTACTATATGATTATCATCGTCATCGTTGTTATGTTTTTTTTGTCATATCAAAGATATGGGTGTATGCAAGGTTTTGAAAACGGCCTCAACCGTTACATAACGCCATTACGTAACGGTTGTAGTGGTTACTGCACCCGTTACAGCCGCTATAACGGTGTAATGGAAATTCACATCTGTAACGGCCATTTTTTGTGTTATGTAACAGCCGTAGCGGTACCGTAACGGATGTAACGGTCCATTAGACACCGTTATACCATTTTACAATATTTTGAATAGCTTCATTTTTCCAAAAAAAAAAAAAAAACTAATTTATAAAAAAAGAATAAATACTCAAGTGATCTAAACCTAAAGAAAAAAATCTTATATGAATTTTTTTTCTTTATAATTTTTTTAATTTATGGCATACTTTTTATTTTATAATCCTTTCATTTAATAATTGTAAATATTTTTTATTCAATTAGTTTAGGTATTATTGGGAAAAAATAATTTGTAGACATTTAAAATTAATTATTCTTAAAATCATTAACTATTGAAATAAAATGTAAAAAACTCATTTTATAGTGATTTGAAAATATGAAATATATTGGATCATATTTAAAAATTAACAAAAATTGATCAAAATTTATTTTAAATCCCAATAAATGTGATTCTGAAAGAAAAAATAAAAAAAAATATGCGTATTGTAAGTTTTCTTCAAATTGTGCAAAAAATAAAAAAATTACAATTCCGATTACCGCAACCACTATCACGTCACCGCAACCATTACGGCGACCGCAACAGTTTTTCAAAACATTGGGTGCATGTAATATTCTTTAACCGTTTCATATTTGTCCATTTGTTTGTCTTGACTCATATTGATGTTATGGTTATATATTACTGTTTCATATTTGCCCCTGAAAACAATTGTCAACCAAAAGCGTTATCAGCAAAGATCTAGCACTAGATATTGACCATAAAAATATAGAAACAGCCATAAAATTAAACAAACAAATCCAACAAAATAACAGGGCTGTAGTAGTGAACAACTTGAAATAAAAAATATCTATACTAAAAAGAAAGGTTAAATCCTTGCATTTTGTGTTTATTCTTTTTCAAAGAAAGTTTTTTTTTTTTTTTTTTGAATTCAGTGAAAACAAAAAAAAAATTATTCTACAAATCATAAGAGCAAAAAGAATTTCAAATCCTATTGATTAGTCCAAAATAGTAGGTAATGGACATCATTTATTTTATAATTATGAACAAAATTAGCAGTTAGTCAAGTCGATTTTGATTATTAGATCTATAGATTACTTATTTGTTTGTTACACACACAAAAAAAATAAAAATAAAAAATAAATTTGAATTTTTGCTCAAACAAGATTTCCCTAACGAAAAAGCTTCTAAGGCTGCCCAATATCCTTTTATTTTCCAAATACTTTTATCCATACAATATTTTGATGTGTTTTTATAATATATATACCAAAAGTTTCATCTAAATTTGATGCTTTTGAAAACATGTCATGATACCACAAGTATATGCTACATAATATCCAATCAAGGAAGTTTTTGATGTCCAAACATACTTATAGATTAAGATATATATGCCACTAGAAAGATTTATCATTACATGGCTTCAAATTGTTTTTTTTTTTTTTTTTTTTTTTTTTTTTTTTTATCGGCAAAAGAATTTTATGGAATAAGAATCAAGGATAAATCCTTTCATCAAACAACCTAAGTAGGTGCTATAAGTATCAGAGTGAAGGCCATTTATCCCAACTAAGTTGGCACAAAAGTACTCACCCAATCATATGCAGCACCTATAGAACAAGGCTGAGGAGGGATCAACCAGTCAGAAACAAAACAACAACTACCAACACGCAAAACACATGAACCCAACCACGGAATATTAGTAAAAGACAAATAGGTTTCTGATTTTTGTCACTCCAAACCAAAACGTTAGTTGAACACATTTGTTGATATAATCGAAGCGTTACTGATAACTGACATAGCTCATGGCATGAAAGCAGCCTGGGCTTGTTGTATTGTCAAGTATCTATCACAAAGAGTATAAATGAGCCATTTTGCAAAGTGAAACCAACGTGATATAGGACGAGGATAAACCACTCTCCTCGTTTTCTCCATTTATGTCTTGAATCACTAAGCACTCTCACTTTCTATATTTCTCAATATCGCTTATCTCTCTTGAACCTCATAGTCTGAGAAACATTGTTGTGATCAAAAGGAAGGATGGAAGAAAGGTCTGCAGATCCGGTGAAGACGACCAGTCAACCGGTCTCGAGAAGGAAAGGAGGCCTGAGGACTATGCCTTTTGTCATAGGTGATATATTGTTAGAAAAACAGAGTTTTTTAGTTTAGACACACCAGATATTCTAACAAGTTCATTGTAAATTTTGTATTTGAATTGAACACAACATGGATAGATAGAATTAAACACAAATAGGTACTTTATTTTTTATGGAGGTTATGTCTTTTTTTTTGGTTCATTATGTTTTTAAGACACACCAAATTGTTTTTCTACAACATTTTTTTTACCCTTTTATAGTACAATTTACACTGCCAAATATTCTAAAAAGTGTTTCGTAAATCATTATTTTGTATGAGAATTGAATGCAATGTGGAAGGATAGAATTGAACCCAAATAGGTAGGTATTTTTTATGGAGGTCATCTCATATTTTTTGTCCATACTGATTTTTAGACACACCAAGTTGTTTTTCTGCAACACTTTTTTACCTTTTATAGTACAATTTATGCTGACAAATATTCTAACAATTATTTCGTAAATTATGATTTCATATTTGAATTGAACACAACATGGAACGACTGAATTATCTCATATTTTTTTTTGTTTCATACTGATCTTTTGTGCAGCAAATGAGGCACTTGAGAAGGTAGCAAGTGTGGGGCTTCATGCAAATATGATTTTGTACCTGAAAAATGAGTATCACTTGTCTATTGTGACCGGAACTAGCATTTTGTTCCTGTGGAATGCAGTATCAAATTTCTTGCCTACCTTTGGGGCCTTTCTTTCAGATTCTTACTTGGGTCGGTTCTGCGTGGTTGGACTCGGATCAATTGTTACTCTACTTGTAAGAACATATTTCCATGAAATTTCTCTGTTATATATTTTTTATTTATGAATTGCAAGCACATATATATGCACAAAGACTACTAGTCTGTTTGTTTCGTTTTCATTTTTTGATATCTTCGTTTTTCATCCTTTTGGAAACAAAAACAATCAAAAGTTTTAAAACCACCCATTGTTTTTATTATTTCATGTCATTTTTCTTTATTTCTTTGCAAAAATAAATTTGAAAATTCACAAGAAGAAAAAAACACTGAAGTGTTCTTAAAAAAGGGTCGTTTTCAAAAAATTTCCTGCAAAACACGGTTTTCTGAACTAGTTTTTTGAATCAATTTATGAGAATAGATAACTGAATTTCAAACATGATACAAAACAGTCTACATATTTGGAGTTCATTTTGAAATTCAAAGGCTTTATTTTGTGATTGGAATCAACTACAAGAAAAGATCCCTAGCCTGCAATTCTACAAGCCCAAGTAATCTAACCTCTATGACCGGGGTTTAGTATATCTGCCAATATATGACCTTATCACCGATACTAATACGTGTCCCACACCATTATTTAAAACAATTCTCTATACGTTGAAAAAGAGACTGGACTTTTTTGTTTCTTAACAGTGGCATCATTCTTGGGAACATCATAATTCATTATTCCTTGAAGTTGATTCCATTTTACACTTTATACATACATTATTGAACACAGCATTCATCGTATTAGAATTTGCATCTTCAACAATTTTTATGTGCCCCACAAAACAGCAAAATAAAAAATAAAAAAATTGATTTTTCCAGTGTTTTTTAAACAATATCATTTTTGTTTTATTGGAAAACGGAGTTTCTGAAAAAAATCCGTAAAGTTGATAATTTGCGAAGTGTTTTTGTAAATGATGAAAATAAAATGTTGTAAATTACAATTAACGGTGACCTCCCGACATCATTCACAATAACGACGTCATTATACTTCTAAATTTGCGGAGTTTTTTTGCAAAATACTAAGGTCATGTTTGATTCACAACACTAATAGTGAAGTATTAATAATCCTATTAAATTAGCGTGGTATTCACTATCCAATTGGATTAATATCCATTGGATTAATAATCCCACCCCTACCCCATTACTAATAATCCTACAAATTTGTTGGATTAATTAATTATCCATTGAATTATTAATCCTAAATCAAAATGTTAAAACAAACATAGGATAATTGGGCCCACGGATTAATAATCATAATCCCATGCTCCAATCCACCCAATCAAACATGCCCTAAGAATGATATTATAAACTATTGAGTATGTCAAGAAACACTAGGAATAATAATTTATTGGTGGAGTTTTGTTAATAAGGCCATGAAAAAATGCCAGAAAAGTATTTTTTGCTGTAGTGCCCTCATAATCTGTACAGAAACCTTACCCTGAGTCTAAACTGGACTATATTCTTGTCACAGGGACTAGTTGTGCTGTGGTTCACAGCCATATTTAAACATGCGAGGCCCCCCCATTGTGACCACCCGAATACAGATCATTGTGCATCACCAAAGCCGGCTCAACTTGCCCTGCTCTTCTCATCATTTGTCCTCATGGCCATTGGAGCCGGTGGCATTAGGCCTTGTTCTTTGGCCTTTGGCGCTGATCAATTTAACAAGCCAGACAATCCCAAAAACACAAGGGTCTTGCAGACCTTCTTCAATTGGTACTATGTTTCCTTGGGGATTTCTATCATGATTTCAGTGACGGTTATAGTTTATATTCAAACTGCGAAAGGTTGGACAGTCGGATTTGGAGTCCCCGTGGTGCTTATGTTTTTCTCTACTGTCATGTTTTTCTTGGGATCGCCGCTTTTCGTTAAGGTAAAGGCGAACAAGAGCTTGGTCACCGGTTTTGCTCAAGTCATGGCCGTGTCTTGGAAGAACAAACACCTTGATTTCCCACCAAAGGATTCGGAGGGGCAGTATCATCACAAGAAGGGCTCAAAGCTTCTTGCACCAGCAGAAAAACTAAGGTACATGCAAAATGTGAAATCACTTGTTTATATTAACATTTCAACTCATAATAATTCTATACTAGAATTTGGCACCATTTTGATGGTCCTTTTAATTGCTATAACCTATGTATATCGACATAACCGCCTCTGGTCTTTCTCTATCCCAATCCCAATCTCAATATTTTTTATTAAATATTTATTATTTAAAAAAAAGGTCCACCACACTTGAATGTCGTATCATGTCAAAACCCAGTCTTTTAGCTGACAAACCCGATTGCCTGCACGCGACTCAGGAACTCAAACCAAGTGTCAAAACCCCGTATTCTTTATTAAATTCTATGCAAAATCTGGTATTTTTTTATTTTGTTTGTTTGTTTTCTATATATTAAACTAGCTTATTTATGCTAGTTTGTGCATTCCTAAGAGGTTCCATAAACGTTGTTTCTCTTTACGCCATTTCATCATATTTTTTTTATCGAATAAGGAAATGGTTCTATCTACCCAATTCCAAAGGCTTGTTGGGTTGAGTCAAGTTTTGAGTTAATGAACCGGACAACAAATTTTTTTGCAGAAGACAAGGGAAGCTCATTGCCATGCTTAATCAGAAAATAAAACTTACATACATGACAGGGAAGACAAAAATAAGGATTACGTAGTTCAGTATAGGCACATATAGTATATGCAAAAACCAAATAATCATTGCTAGAACTCATTATACTTGGTTATGATAATTAGTTGACCGGAAATGAAATATTTTTTTTTCTTCTTCTCAGGTTTTTGAATAAAGCTTGCATCATAAAAAACCCAGAGAAAGACTTAAACCCTGATGGCACAGCCTTAGATCCATGGACTCTATGCACAGTTCAACAAGTGGAAGAGCTAAAAGCACTGATCAAAGTACTCCCCATATGGTCTGCTGGGATCATAATCGCGGTGACAATCAGCCAACAAGCATTCCCAGTTCTTCAAGCCTATACAATGGACAGACACTTCAACAAAAATTTCAAAATGCCACCGGGCTCCTATGGCGTCTTCTCAATCCTCACTTTAACCATTTGGGTAGCAATCTATGACCGACTAATCGTGCCTTGGCTATCAAAGTACACCAAACGCCCACGCGGGCTTAGCCTAAAACAACGCATGGGGATCGGGCTTTTTCTCTCCTGCATCGCCACTACAGTGGCAGCGCTGATAGAGAGTACTCGACGTGCCAGAGCAATCAATGAAGGGCTGGCAGACCAGCCCGATGCAGTGGTGAACATGTCAGCAATGTGGTTAGTGCCACAACACTGCTTGGTTGGGATATCTGAGGCTTTCAATGCAATTGGGCAGATACAGTTTTACTATTCTCAGTTTCCCAAGAGCATGTCAAGCATTGGAATAGCTCTTTTCACACTTGGAATGGGGGTTGGGAACTTGTTGGGAAGTCTCATTGTGAGCATTTTGGCTCATGCGACCAAAAGGGGTGGCAATGTGAGTTGGGTATCAAATAACCTCAACAGGGGTCACTATGACTACTACTATTGGATCCTAACTTGTTTGAGTGTGGCTAATTTCTTCTACTTTCTTCTTTGTGGTTGGGCTTATGGCTCTGAGGAACAAAATGTTTGGGATGATGATTGGGAAGACAAGAAAGATGAAGACATTGTCATGTCAAAGGATTCCCCCATAGTATTGTCAGTATGATTTATTGTATATGTTACTTGCAGTGGTTAAAATTCAGCCTATCAATCTTGAGATTTGCGGGTTTGAATCTGGACGCAACTACTTTATGCAAATAATGCCAAGAGCATATGAGAAGTCAGTAAAATGTTAAATACTTCTAGCATTGTTGATCATTTGTATCCAATCAACCCATCCATACCTCATCCAATAGGACTAAATGTAATTTTTTTGTCATTGCTTAAGTAGTTTTTTAAAGGAATATAATATAAGGAATAAAGATATATCACATGGGTGTGTTGTTGAAAGGTGATCTCACCCAACAAGAGGTTTGGGATGATGATGGGGAAGCCAAGATGAAGATGTATATTTGTGTGTCTATTATCAATTAAAGTGTTCAATTAGATACGAAATGTCATATAAATAGATGAATAAAACTTGTTCAAAATCAGCTACAAAATCTAGTTCATTATTTTTTTCTCTTACTTCAAAATAAAACACCCATTATTTTACCTTGTGATTTCATAATTTTACATGAATGTCTATGTGTAACATTGTATTAATAAAAAAAATAAAGAAAAAAAAAACTTTGATTCAACTTGATGACCAGTGCAACGGATGCATGTAGACTCTTTTAATTAGTGTTATCCAAAGAATGGACCTAGAAAGGAGAAGAGAGGATTTACGACTTTCAAAACTCTTTACGATAAAAGTATTAATTATTTCTAAATTATACAACTATGTGTCCTCTAATTTTTTTTTTTTTTTAAATTTAAATGATCGCTCCTCTAGATTTTTATTTTGAAAAAAAAAAAAATTGTGTCCATAAAACATGGGGATCAAATTATAAAATTAGACAAAATTAGACAAAATAAATATAAAAGAAAAAAAGAAAGACAAGTAATTAATTTCTCATAATTGATTACAAGCCCTAGTCTACAAAGAAGAAGAATGTGGAGGAGAAATCAACAAGATGCCTAATCGCATTCATGAAGAAAGACATTATTTGGGGTTTTAATTACGATTCTACTATAGATGTTTTAATGACATGAGAAAAAAACGTGGAACACAAATTAAAATGTTTCAATTTAGTATATAGATTGTATACATTTGTTATATGTTGTAACTCAATTTGAATACAAAAAAAATGCACTTATTTATAATTCTTTTCATTTTTTTTGATATTTTTTTGTAATACTTTTATACTTATGGAAATTGATGTTGTACTTCATACTTTCATTTTAAGATTTTTGTTATTATATATATTTTGCCTCTTGTGTTAGAATTAGGAATGAGGTTGTAGTGTCCCGGGTCATAGACCTGATTTGAATCTACATGTTTGGACTTACCACAATGATTTTGAACCCTTAGTGTGATATTATATGTTTGGTGAGTGTGATTAGGATCGTGTTAATTCCTATTTGGCCCTAATGTATTTAATTCTTATTTGTTTTAATATTGTTAATGTTACTATTTTGTATCCCACGCATAATGTTTTGAACTTTTGACCCTTGGAGTGTGCCTTGGTATGTTTGGAGAGGAATGTTGTTGGTCGATTTTGAGCAGAATGCTCCGATCGATAGGGGATCGATCTCACTAGGAAGATTGATCACCCCTCATAGTGCGATCGATCATTCTTCCTATTTATTTTGAGTAAGTTTCCAATAGAATGCATTGATCGATAGCCATTCAATCTTGTTTGGGGTGATCAATCACTCTTATAAGTGCAATCGATCGCATTGACTAAAATATGAATTTAAGTCCTTTCTTTCTCTTTTTTCCTCACTTCTCTCTTTTCTCTCTCTCCAAAACCTCTCTCTCCCTCTCTCTAAAACTTTAACCATTTTATACAATACCTTTGATCCACCCTACTTTGGATCATCTTTCCATCTTGACACTTTGGAGTAAAGTGTAGAGTGCATCGAGAGCTTCACTTTGATTGAAGCCGATCGTGATTTTGGCACATTTGATCTTGGGACTTTTCTCTCCTTCCTCTCTAATTTGAGGTAGGAATTCTATTACCATTGTATATTTGTTTTGAAATGTTTATGTGGTATTTTATTATATATGAATTTTGGAGAAATTGGGGTTTTGATATATATATATATATATATATATATATGGTATAAAACTAGGGCCTGCTCTTTTTGGTTTTAAATTTAGAGACTTTCCTCTCAAATTCATAAACAGTGCTTTGATTTCAAAGTTTGTTATTAAAATTGAGAAAACCCTAATTTTTGTTCAAACCCTAACATTGTGTTTGGTTGGGAGATTTGATAAAGGATTTGAAAAGGAAAAAGGAAAATGTAAGTGGAATGTGAATAAAATATTTCACCTAGTTTCACACGTCTTTTCCCTTTCCCTTTCCAAAACGTTTTCCAGATCTCCTAACCATTTCCCAAATCCCCTAACCAAACACAACGTAAAATGTTGAGAATTGAAAAAATGTTGAGAATTGAGAAAACATTGTTTTGAGTAAAATGTTGGGAAATAAATGACTTGTTATGAAAATTGTAGATTTACTTGGAAACCTTTGGATATTGTTGAATTTATTGAGATTATTAGAAATCTTTTGAAAATATTGGAACTATTAAAAATGTTGGAAATATTGAAAATTCTGAAGAAATTGGAATTATTGATTTAGTTATGCTCTTGCATTGCCATAGTGGAATATTTTTATAGAGATAACTATTTTTGGCAATCAGTAGAGGTCTGCATGATTGTTGTAGAAATGAATTGGGAACTAGAAAAAATGAAACCATTTAAATCATGCATTGCATAGATATTTTCATACTTCTACTCATGTATATCATTGGAGTCGTTTGAGAAGTTGTCCTTGGGACTATTTTGGTAACCATTGGAAATTTTTTGAATTATTAAAATAAATAATGTAGTTAAATCCAGGATGTGTAGAAAATGTTTATAAATTGAATTAAATTGTCTTAAGGCCCTCAGTGAAAATCCGGAAACTTGTGTGGAGTCAGGTCTCTAATTGCCCTTATATAGTTAATAGCTAGAGAATGTGAATTTTTTTTATAGTTCTGTATAGACTACTTGCAAATACATGTCTAGGGATTTCCACTATATTATTTACAGTTTAATAATTGGTTATTGAAATTGGTGGAACTTGAGTCGTTTTGGAAAGGCTATCATTTTACTTCATGGGAAATGGAAACATTTTTTACATTAAAAGGCATCACTTACATTCATGATCATACACATATTATAACTCATATGCATTGTTAACATTGTTCATACTAGGCAATTGTACTTATTCTTTAGTTGAAAACCATATTCAGGTACTTATGAGATGCCCCCACCTCGTTGAAGGCATGTGATGCGATAGCTTGGAGCAAGAAGGCTCTTTGTTTTATTTGTTAATTTTGTAAAGCTTTATGTGTTTGGGGTGGAGATCCATCTTTTTGTTATAGGGTTCTGTAGACACCCCATTTTTTACTGCCTTTAAGACTTGGACGCGACTGATGGTTTACATGATGGAGAAAGGTGTGCAGGGAAAAAGTTCAGTTTCTTCGGCAAGGAGAGAGTCAAAGCTCAACTTCATACCCCTTTTTGGACCAAAACAATCTTGATCAAAAGATTTTAGACCTTAAAACCCTCTCTTTCAAAACGTTTTTGAAATAAAGTTTTTACGATGTTCCGAGGCTCGCATTTTGTCAAATGTTGCGCTTTTCGGTAAACCGAGCAAGGACAAAGTAGAAATGAATGAAAGAGAGATGAAATCTTTGAAAAATCTTTCAAAACACCTTACTTAGGGGTTTGGAGTCGAAGAAAAGAGGAGAAGAGGGAAGAAATCCAGTTGGGGGAGAAAATGGGCATGAACCGTTAAGAAAGAGTCGAACAGCCCTCGCCGAATCAGGGCTATTCATTTGCATACTTGGAATCAAGCTATGAGGCCACCACCGTTGGAAATAATACTTCTGGGGCATCATTTTGCACTCAAGAATCTCCTAAATCCAATTCCGGACGGGGGAGATATAGTTGGTTAAAGTAGGGCATCACTCCGGTTGGACCGAAATCTGCGCGGCTTCACCAAAAAGGGCATAACTTTTTCCACAGGAGGAATTTTAATGCAAGGTTTATGCCATTGGAAAGATCACTTCCGGGGCTTCAATTTGGACACTTGAACGGCCATCATTGGACTTCCCAATCACCCACCGGCCACTTTTATTTCCGGCAGCCCATTTTTTTGTCCTGAAAGTAGCCAGCCGGCCAGAAAATCTAGCAGGCCGGCCACCTAGCTGGTGAAACGAATTTTTTTGCCCTTTTTAGCTAGCCGGCCATAACCCCCTCCCCAAGTGTGTCCTAGAAGTGAATTTTGTTTTCCTGTAGGCCTTATATCCGAGGGTTTGGCCTTTTGGGGGGAAACTTGAATTGTTTCCCCCCCCCCATTTTTCCCCCTCTTTTCCACCCTTTTTGTCTATATAACCAGCACTCCCAGCTGGTTTTGGGGGGTTAGAAAATTTTGTATCTCTCTCTCTCTCTCTACACTTCCAAGCTTCAAACCTCTCAAGTCCTACACTCATTTCTACACCACCACCTAACACCACACCACCACTCCATTCCAGCAGCTTGGAGGGCCTTCTCAGAGCTTTGGAGGCACCTTTTCTCAAGCCAAAAGGCTGCTAAAGTTTGGTCTTCAAGGGTGAGCAACATTTCCTCTCTTTTAAGCTTATTTTTGTATCCTTTCTAAGCCATACATGCTTGCATATTTGGGCTCCCACCCTAACTGAAAATAGTCATGTTTTGATGTATTTTTCATGTTTTTTTTAGGGTCCTTCCATGTTTAAGGTCCCTAGCTACCACTTGCTTCATTACCCCTCTTGTGTGCCTATTTCTTGTGTCTTGTATGCCTATTTCTTGTGTAGTATTTTTGGCCTACGTGTAAACTGTTTTGAGCTCTGTCATAAACTTTAAAGTGGCTTATTTTGATCCCTTATTCAACATTGTTGAAGGGCTCATCACTGTTTGAGGCTTCCATTTGCCACTTGCCTTTATATCCCTCTTTTGGCCTTTTTTTTGCATGATTTGTTATCCCCTTGTATTTGCATTTTTGGACTCTGGTCCGAACCATAAATGGCCTTATTTTGACCCCCTCTTCATGTTTTATCAAGGGTCTTTTTCTGTTTGAGGCTCCCTTTTTACACTTTGTGTTTAAACCTCTTTTTAGGCCTTATTTTGCATGGTATTTTAAGCTTATTTATTCACTGTTTTGGGCTCAGTTGTAAACTGTAAAGTGCTTCATTTTGAGCCCCTATTAAACTTTGTTGAAGGGCTCTTAGCCATTTAGGGCCATCAACTGCCACTTGCCTCATTACCTCCCTTTCGGGGCCATTTTTGCATGCTAGTTTAGTTCTATTTGTGTTCATTGTTTGGCCTTACC